ATTTAAAAAGTTTGGTCTCTGTGGCAGTGTACCTTTAATGCTGACAGCATTTCCTCGCTGTATTGCGATACTTATTCGTTTTCGAGGCAAGGAACAGCTTAGCCAATATTAGTTTATTTTTTATTTTCTAGGGAAGATTATTAGAATAAAAGAAAATAACCATGTCTTTGGTGTATACTAGAACTGGTATAATCCCAGACGTCGAGATAACAATAACAACGAACTTATTCATTAAAGTACTATAAGCCTGAAATAGTTTGTTGTTTTGTGAGATTTATTTGCAAAATAATACAAGTGTAGGATTACACAGTAGATTCAACGATTTTGAATGGGAGGATAATGATTTATTTTCAGTGCATCGTTAAAAATAATCTAGTACATTTTGTGTAGTAAAGATAGAAAAGCGAATAAAAATATTTTATATCCCGTTTTCCAATATCAATATAAAATAACGATGGCTTATAATAAATCTGAAGCGGTTTCCACTGACCGTTGTTGAGTGCGTGTTTTCTGAATACCAGCTCGATATTGAATTTGTATTGAAAATTATAAATTAAAAAAATTATTTACCATGAAAGGACTATAGAGATTGCTTTAAAAACGTGGTAACACTAAATTAAAATTAAAACCAACTTACAATTTCCCGCTTTTTCAATTAAAGAGAAAAATATTATATTCGAAATTGATATAAAAACAATTGTTTCAAAGATATGTTTGTACTTTAAGATATATGATATACTAAATTCTATTAGGCAAGTAGGCGAACAACCTTTTGTGCCTGACACACCGTCGAAGTTTTAATAAGGCATGCCGGTTTCCTCGCGATGTTCTCCTTCACCGTAGAATTGTTAAATGCGTACATAGACAACGTCCATTGGTGCACAGCCGGGAATCAAACATACGCCTCAAGGATTAGAGTCGCACGCTGAAGGCACTAGACCAACACTGCTCTGCACATTCAATTAATACCCAACTTTTATCAACCATTCCTTACTCTCTTAGCATAGTTCTAAGAGTCCTGTGGGTTGTGTCGGACATATTCTAACCAAAATAATATCCAGATTATTTAGAATATCTCATACTCATCCCCTGTATTACAGTCAGCCCTGCGATTGAGTGAAAAGCTAGGAGCTTGTAGTTTATTGTTTATCAGAATGCCAAATCATAAAATGACTGCTTCACGACTGATTTGAGAGCGACCGCCGATGCGAAAACCGCTGTGTGAGTTCGAAAAGTGAGTTACAGAATCGCAGGGCTGCTCCTCAGTATAATGCTAAGCCAAGGCCAATTACCTTGTTCTTTAAAAGAAAAAAATGTTTTTATCTTTTTTTCTTTCTTTTATTATTGCTATTTTGTGTGTGTGTTTTCTTAGCAATAAAAGTTATGTCTATGTATAATAATGACCAAAAACCCAAGTGATTTTTTTTAGCTAAAAAATATTGTCAATCTGTATTAAAATTGTGTCTACGCGAAATAAATTTGAAAATTGTCCTTAACAATAAACGTTCAAAGACACATTAAGGTTGTTAAGGCAATGTAATTTACGTTTTAATTAAAATTGTGTTTACTTAGGCAATTTAAGGTTGGCTAAATGAAATTATCTGCAAACAGTTTAATCACATTATTATACAATTACTGCATAATATATTTTACCAACTGCGCGACGCAGATGTAACTAGAGAAAATATAACATTTTGATTATTAAAGCAAACTCATAAACTACTGAACGCATTAAATTATTCCTGAAGGACATATATAAAAAAACTAGTGGTGCAACAATCTGTTTTTGGGTCTGGACCTAAAATTTTGTATCTGTTACATAACCATTTGTCAATTTAATAGGCAAGTAGGTGAAGGTTTTCGTATCACCTCGACGTCCGTCGTTCTACAACTGCGCGTTTTCTAAGGCAGTTTTTGCCGCGCACTATGTGGAACCAGCTGCCCACTGAAGTATTCCCGAAATAATTCGACTTAATTCCTTCAAGAAAAGAGCGTACCAATTCTTAAAAGGCCAGCAACGCAGTCGCGAGCCCTCTGACATTGAGTGTCCATGGACGGCGGTATCACTTAACATCAGATGAGTCTCCTGCCCATTTGGCCCCTGCTCTATAAAATAAAAAGGTGATCAGCCTCCTGTGCCGTCTGACACACGCCGTCAACTTTTTTAAGACTAAGGCAAATCGGTTTCCTAACGATCTCACCGAGCGATGATAAATGCGCACATAGCAAGAAAGTCCATTGGTGCACAGCCGGGATCGAACCTACAACCTCAGGGATGTCGCACGCTGAAGCCATTAGGCCAACACCGCTATGAAAGGACACAAATATGTATGTCATAATTTACACACTTACAAGACTCTAAATTAATAATCCACTTATAAATATCCAGATTCTATAAAAAAAATCTTATCCAACCAAGCAAATGGAGCATACAGACCATAGAGTATCGTTTTCAAGTAATAACGACTGCCAACATACTTAAAAAGTTTAAATTGAAAATTTATTTTATTTATTTATCAACTTTAACAAGGTGTGAGGTTTTAACGCACTGAAACTATTAATAATAACTGGCTTTAATTGTTTAAAACATGAGCTTATAACTAGGATAACATTTGAGGTAGTGGGGTTAACGCTGGATTAAAAAAAAACTAACTTTACATTGAAGAGTTCGTAAATCTAAGTGACACTTATATTATTGGACATTGTCGGAAAAGAGACAATTTATGATTGTGGTAAAAACTTAACACATTGGCTTCAAGTGTGCGATTTTTGTTTACATTTTGTTTACGCTTTTAAATATTAACTAAAAATAATGATTTGTATTTAGTCAAATAAATGTACATATTTTATTTGCCAAAACTATTGCAAAATGTGTTTAATACTTTCCAGAAGACAAATATTACTTCATTTAAAGAATAGAACAAGATTATACAGTAGTGTTGAGTTGGTTGACATATATACATAAGATGTTACCTGTACAATAGGATCAGTTTTCGTTTACGTAGAAAAAGTGTGAATATGAAAATCAAACAAAATTATAAAAGGCTTACCCTTTATGGGGATATCCGAAAATCGTGACTTTTGATGGCTTCCTGGGTTTTTAGTCATATTTATAGATTTAGCAAGATTTTGGCGAAAACGCCAAGTGTAACAAAAGGAGCGTTCAAGTATTACGTAACGTTTTTTTTTCCTTTTGTAAAACGTTACGATGCGGGGCGGGGATTAAATTATGCGTTATTAATATTTTTTTCGACTTACACAACATAATAGTAACTAAAGAGTCACTAGGTGGTCACGAAACGTTTTACTATACTTGGGTACTGAAAAACGTTACGGCAAGTTACATGGGGGGTCAATAATCTCCAAAAATTGCGTTACGTAATACTTTAACGTTCCCAAAGCCATCCATTTATTTTTAGGACTCCGATTCTCTCCTGTTTGTTATAATAAACAAATCTAAGTAAAAATATACAGCTGATCGGACTTGAGTTCACCGAGCTATCCCTTAATGTAACGGTTTATTGTTCATGTAACTGAAGCAAGGACAATTTCTATACCTAAACCAACATCGGTATCTGTCAATGCAATTGAATTAATATACTACAAATATAAATGGTTAAAAAATATATTACCAGATAGTGCGAGCATGCCTCTTTAAAGAAACGACATGGCGAAGTTTAATTGCGTTTCATACGTCGTAACAAATCTCACTCGATCAAAACTGTTACACAAATACGTAACTGCCAATTAAGAAACTTAATAAATAATTGAACAACCAGCTCCTCTTATCTCAAGGCTCTGAGTTCGATTCCCAATATATCCCCAAATATAAGTGATAAATGATAGATGGATGATTACTATAGATTTTTCTTTCTCATATGGTAAAGCCTAAAGGTAAATATTGTATGGAAACTAACCTGTTTACTCAAAAATCAACATGAATAAATTATATTAATATATTTTTATAATCCACAACATTAAAAAAAAAAGCTGTGGATTATCAATAAACTGTTAAACAAATAAACACTCCATTTATATAAAAATGCTAGCTGACCCGGCAAACGTTGTTTTGCGATGTATATTATTTCTAGGAAACATTTTTTTTAGTTTAATAACTCAATAAAAGGTAAAAATAACTAGCTACAATAATAAAAAATAGGAGTTGATCGTAGAGGGTTAAAATTAGGGGTTGTATGTATTTTTGTATGCTTTGTCATAAAAAAATAAAAACAAAAAAAATCTAAAAATTCAATAAAAATGTGTAGTGTGGACACCCCTTATCACTTGAGGTTTGAAAGATAGATAGTAGCCGATTCTCAGACTTACTGAATATGCATAAAAAATTTCATAAGAATCGGTCAAGCCGTTTCGGAGGAGTATGGGAACGAACATTGTGACACGAGAATTTTATATAGATATATTAGATAAAAACCTTTTTTTGTTAATCTAGAATTTCTATGTAGAAAGTACTGAACATTCAATTGTAATGTCACAACTCAACTGTTTGTCTAATTTGCAAAATATTTATTATATAAACCTAGAAGCAAATGTAGTACTTTGCTTTAAAATTGAATATATTTTATACAGAGCTTACAATTAAAACTATAAATTTAGATGGACTTCATAGGACAAGTTTGAATATAAATGCAGTTGTTAGTCAACAATATTTGTATTTCATAATCTGTTAGATCCCACAAGACATGTGATATATTATCAAATATACAACAATGTACAAATAAAATTCCTAAATAATTTTATATCTCAACTTTCATCAAGCAAAATAGTACAGTGAAATAAAGAAAAGAAATTTATAAATTGTATTTAAATATTTTAATTTTTTAAATATCATTATTTTTCTTTATACCTGTGAATATCTTAATTTAAGAAATTTTGTTTAATATGTTATGTGGCAGGCTGAATGATTTAAATTTTTTGTGGTCAAACAACAATTACTCAAAAATCATAATACCCCTATTAAAATAATAACAATTTTAAAAACTCTAAATTGCATCTCCTGCCTTTACTCTTGTAAGTTTCTTCTGGTCTTTTCGGGGTATACCATGTTTTTCCAGCAAATGCCGCCTTACTGTACCATTTTTAGCATATAAGACACCACACTCATAACACATATACATGTATCTTTTGTGAACAGTGTTGTAATGTCCCACCATATGATCTGGGGTAAAAAACATTTTTGGACACTCTTTGCATTGAACTGTTTTTTCTGAATGTATAAATAAATGTTTTCTATATATCTCCTTACGCCGAAAAGTTAAGCCACATTTTTCACAGGCAAATGGCCGTTCTCCTGTGTGAATCCGTTCATGTTCTTTCATTTCAAACCGCCTTGAGGCTTTAAAAGGACATTGTTGACATTGTATGTACTTTCCAGTGCCATGAATTACTACCATGTGACCATTTAAACCAGCAAATGATGCAAAACTCATTCCACAATGTTCACAGATCAACCTAAAACAAAAATGAATAATTGTAAGCTAACAGGCAATTTTATATACAATTATCTTTTATAATACAATTGATTTATATAAATATCTAATATAATAGCACTACTGCATAAAAGTTTGTATAAATATGACACAAAATATATACAAACCTGTGCTTTTTATTATGTGTGCGCATATGTTTCCAAAAACTTGATGGATTTGCTAATCTTTTAAGACAAATGGGACATGTTCTCTGTTTATCTATATTACTTATGTTCATCCTTTTATGTGTAGATTGGGGATATTCATTTAGCAGTTTTGCTGGTTCCTCATAATTACTTAAATCAAACCTATCATCTGATTCTAAGGGAATAGAATTTTCTAAAATATCTAATATTGCATCTACATTTTTTGACTGGGGTTTTTTAGTTTTACACAAGGTAAAGTTTAGGTCATTTATATCACCATCATGGCTATTTTCATTCACGTCCTGGTCGGACATATTATATGTACTTTCATTCATTTTAGGTTTTAATAATTTTTCTTTACCATCATTTGCTAGTTTTAAGTCATACTTGAATTTTACTTGAGCCAATTTATTCTTGACCTCGTCAAGCTTCTTACCACTAGCTTCACACATAAACTTGAAGTAAATACACTGTTTTAACAATATGAGGCACATTTTACACATCGAGCTGGGTAAAGGATCGTCTGGTTTGTTTAGTTTTATTGAAGCAAAGTGCAATACCGCTTGCCCATAATAATTAACTTTGTTGTTATCAAACAAACATATCATATTTGCAGTTGAGTTAGGTTTTAAACACAACCGGCAAAGACTATTAAAGTTTGAATCCATTGGACTTATTTAATTTATATTCATTAGAACAACAATATCACACATTAATCTAAAAATTCGTTGAAATTACAATATTTCCTATTTAGTATTTACGTTACAGAATGACAATTGACAGCTCGCTAGGCAACTATAAATTACAAAACGTTCCGATCCTCACAAACTGACCACACTAAATTACATAGTTTTATTGACAAACAACATACGTTACATAATAATTATAAAGTAATATCTTTATGTATTAATTTATAAGTGCAAAAAACACATGCATGATTAAAAATACAAGATAATTTGATGTCATAAATTATGAACACTAATATAATAATTGATGTGGACCAATTATATTAAAACATAAATTACAAACTAGCTAGGCAATCAGTAAAAACATAAACCTCATTAAGAGCGTATACAAAAACCTAAGGTAAGTAGGTAGATTGTTTCAAAATATAGCAATATTTTCATTAATGTTAGTAATTAAATTATAAGAGCAAAGAGCCTATTCATTAGCATTAAAGCGCATAAGCAAACCGTATACCTACCTAGCCGGGTACCTACGTATAAAAGACAGTTCTATAGGTCTACCAGGATCTGATGTTTTTTTTTTTTTTTTTTTTTTTTTTTTTTTTTTTTTTTTTTTTTAATTATTTTAAATTTTTAATAAAAAAAAAAAAAAAAAAAAAAAAAAAAAAAAAAAAAAAAAAAAAAAAAAAAAAAAAAAAAAAAAGCAAAAATTCATATTTTGGAAAAAAGAAATTTACGCATATGCAATACTGGGGAAATTGGAGTAAAACGTTTTGATATTTTTTTAACAAATCATCCTCTTTCTCCCCCACAAAAAAAAAAAAAAAAAAAAAAAAAAAAAAAAAAAAAAAAAAAAAAAAAAAAAAAAAAAAAAAAAAAAAAAAAAAAAAAAAAAAAAAAAAAAAAAAAAAAACCAAACCAAGAAAAAAAGGCAGCGGGGGGGGGGGAGGGGGGGGGGGGGGGGGGGGGTGGGGGGGGGGGGGGGGGGGCCCGGGGGGGGGGGGGGGGGGGGGGGGGGGGGGGGGGGGGGCGGTTGGGGGGGGGGGGAAGGTAAAAAAAAAAAAAAAAAAAAAAAAAAAAAAAAAAAAAAAAAAAAAAAAAAAAAAAAAAAAAAAAAAAAAAAAAAGGGGAATTTGTTTGTGGGGGGCCGGGGGGGGGGGGGGGGGGTTGGGGGGAGAGAAAAAAAAAAAAAAAAAAAAAAAAAAAAAAAAAAAAAAAAAAAAAAAAAAAAAAAAAAAAATTTTTTTTTTAAAAATTTTAAAAAAAAAAAAAAAAAAAAAAAAAAAAAAAAAAAGGGGGGAAAAAAGAAAAAAGGTAAAAAAAGGGTATAAAAAAAAGAGAAAAAAAAAAAAAAAAAAAAAAAAAAAAAAAAAGCAAAGGGGGGGGGGGGTGGGGGGAAAGGAAAAAAAAAAAAAAAAAAGAAAAAAAAAAAAAAAAAAAAAAAGGAAAAGAAAAAAGGAAAAGAAAAAAAGGGGGTTTTTTTTTTAAAAAAAAAAAGAAAAAAAAGAAAAAAATATTTTAAAAAAGGGAAAAAACAAAAAAAAAAAAGGGAAAAAAAAAAAAAAAGGAAGGAGGAGGGGGGGGAAAAAAAAAAGGAAAAAATTAAAAAAAAGGGAGAAAAAAAAAAAAAAAGGAAAAAAGAATAAAGGAAAAAGAGTAAAGAGAAAAAGAAAAACCAAAACCACACGCCGGGCCGGTACGAAAAGAAGAAAAGAGTAGGGGGGGGGGGGGGGGGGGGGGGGGGGAGGGGGAGAAGGGAAATTGGGGGGGGGAAGGGGGGGGGGGGGGGGGAAAAGGTTTTGGATTTTTTTTTCCTTATAGCGGCTGATTCTGTGTGTGATACATGTAAAAATAAAAATTTCTCCAATGAACAAGGATAATTTTTGAAAATGTGGCGAATGTGGGGTTTGAAATTTAGATGAAAACTCAAATTACTCTGTTCATGAGTTTATTAATTAATTAAGAACTTGAAAATGGTTCCAAATACTGCACATCCATAAAAACGTCTTCAACGCAGTATTTATGATAAACCTTTCCTCCTGCATCTCAATTAACCGATCTTGTTCACAAGATTTTAGCCATTCATCGATCCCTATTTGAGAGAAAGAAACAGTGTAAAACTCATTTATCTTGTTTCTGATCAATTCTAAATCAAAACTATCCAAGTTTATTTGTAGTATAAGAAACCCCTGAAATAAACCAAAGTTTAGTATAAGTACATAATATAATACACACGAAAAATCCCATAAACCAAAGTATCAAGACGTGTCACTCCTACTAATCAGTCAACGCTTGCACATGGCTCAATATCGATGATTGTGTATGTTCTGCATCTTGTTGACCAAGTATTCTTTGATAAACATTGAAAACAATTTGTCTTGCTTGCGATTGAAGAGGTTTCTTCGACATTTTCATCACTTTTTAAAGGAAATTTGAAGCCAAACCAAAAACAATTCCTCAAAATTTCAGTTGACATCTGAAATTTTTCTTTTATTGCCATATGAAAATCGCTAATTTTTAAACTTTTTTTTTGCCATCAGATTCTGGTAGACCTATAGTAACTCTAGAATTACCAAGGAGGAAAATTTTGTAATTGACCCATCAACTCTCGAATATGCTTCGGCAGATGATAGTAAATTTAATCTAAAAATTATTGTAATAATTCATGATATATTTTTTATTAAATTTTGATAAATGCTTCAAACTTGTTTTTAAAATTTTATTTTTTTATATTTGTATATGATGAAGTAAGTGTCGATCACAAATTTATTTGCCAAAAATAAAGACCTGTATCGAAGTGAATTCTTGATAAAAAACCCTTTGCAAAAGATATAAGTAACAAAACTTATATAACTCGTAACTTTAATATGAAAATAAATTCCTTTTAATTGTAAATAATTAGTATAAACATTAACTAATTCATATAATATAAATAATAATATATTCTGTACAGCTTGACTTGACAAACTCCCTGGATTGAGGGACATGTTGGCGAACCACCCATGAACTATATGAATATACTCGTATTATTATCCCCAATTGAACATTGCATTTTTCTATCTTGATTGCGTCATCCTTACTAAATAAATACTGTTATTCGAATGTTTTTAAATGGCTTATTATTTGCATAAATTTTAAAGGTTTAGCAGTGTTATTTATTATGCAATATTTTTTTTATATAAGAGCGCATCGTGCAATCAGTCTTGTGACTGCAGATGAGTTGTAGGATGATTTGCGGGTGGAGATATTATTTATTTTGTTAAAGTCGCATGTAGCTCCCCACAATTGTGTTCCGTAGGTCCACACAGGTTTTATAACAGAATTGTAGATAAGGAGTTTGTTGTCGATGGATAATTTTAATACACTGATTTATCGTTGAAGAGGTCGCAAGAGATTTTGATAACATATACGAAATCAACGCGGGCGGAAGCTGGTTTAAAATATATGATATTTTAAGCAATAATGTTTTATTGTTCAAGTTATACTATCTACATACCTAATAATTAAGTGATAATTAATTAACATAGTTTCTACAATGGTCTGTAGTTACACTGAACTCTTTAACGAATCAGTTACTTTATACGAATTTTATGTCGAGTTCCATACCAGAGTACCATCTTCGTATCTTCGTCGAAGTCTTGTTTCTTATCTCCGTCGATTTTTTAATAATTTCTTCATAATCACACTTCTTAAACTCAAAACTCAAACTTCTATATCCGAAATATAACAATTATACAGCTTTTACTACATTAACAAGTGTATCTAACTTTATGAACCAGTTTTATTTAAAATATTGAATTTTATATGTTATGCTAAATTATTATTTGGATACGAAAGGTTAAGTAAAAGTATTTTTTTCAGAATCGCATATTCTGTCATAGTTTGTGAGTCGGTCTAATTTAGGTTCCGTCGCGAGGCCATGGTACGAATTTTAGAAATTGAATGAACCAAATCTCATTACCGGTAAGGTCACGTGGACACCAAAACTGGGTGGTTTATTGGACGTGACGGTATGAATAAGCGATACAGTTCAGTTGTAGGTTGTCTGTCATTAGGCTCGCAATAGGAGCTCATGACAGGCCCCCTGGATGTAACTAACTGCAGTTACAGGTAACTAATATTTAATAATCGCAAGTTTGTTTACGTAAACCAATACGTTAGTACAATAGCTTAAGTGTAAACCAATATATTTTTTAACATACTTGTATACGAATGACGATGCTTTGACGAACCTCCAAGTCTACAGTGTCTTGTAAAAATATTTAAAACTTACGGACCATTGGAAAGGTTACTTCGCAAAGAGTTCAAACAGTATTCAACAATTTGGAGCAATAAAATTAAAAATGAACATCCAATAAAGTTTCTTTTCAATCGAACCCTCTCGAGATATTTGAGCGGCAAATAATTGAAGCAAAGAAATTCCACAAGTTTTTTCCCTATAAGTCATTTCAGATGTCGCATTTCAATGAATATTTGTGAACTTATTTAAACAAAAGTCTTCTATACGTACCTACGGCTCGCTTATCTGCTACTTTTAATGGTCCAGTGAATAGGCTATCTTGCTCTTACAACTTAAATCATTGATGAAAATATTGATGTGTTTTACAACATGTTTTGTCTAAACATTGTTTTGCAGGCTCTTAATGTGGTTTAAGTTTTCATTTAGTTTTGTTATTGTTATTTAGGTTATACTTCTTTAGGCGCGTTATGAAAAATTGAAGAGAGTGAAATTTTACGATGCGCGCGCACCGTGACACAAAATTAACAGAATGAAGTTGCCCATGGAAGATGCTACGGCATTGGACATAATTTAAAAACAACATTCGAATAATAATAGAATTTATGTTACACTTAATGTAAGAGAATCATAATAAATATATATTTATTTAATTTTTCAAATGTAAACTGAACTTTATTGACTATAATGACTCCTTTTCCAGTCTTTGAGTGATTAATTATTTGCATGCAATCAAAAACTATTT